CTTGAATCTCCCACTGTCTTTCAGATGCCTGGTGATTACCTCTGGATGCCTGGCCTTGGTGGGGAATGGTTCATAGTTTCTTTAGCAATAAGCCTAGGCCCCTGGGTGGACACACACCCATCATGGGGCTGGTGAAACATGCATAGAAACTAGTACGCTACTATCGAGATGTGCCCTTGTAGAATGTCAGAGGGTTTGTGTATGTGCATAGGGACTGGTGAGAGGCTGGTGAGGACATGCAGTTCTAAGACTGACTCTGGGATTAAAGGAAATATTTGATATCAGCTTTATGATAATAGATGTCTCCCGCTATCACCCCCACTGTTGGATAGCTATTTAAGAGGATGCTTGAATAAACCATCGACTCCAGTATGAACTGAGAGCCCTCCTGAGATGACAGGATGTCTCTGTCTGGTCCTTAACACTGTCATAGCTAGGAGTTTCCTGGTCCACATTCCCCCACTCAGGGATGGACCTGGGGCTGTTTAACTGGCTCCAGTTGTAGCCCCACAGACATCAGTCTGCAATAGATGGCCTCTGTAGCATGGGACTGATACAGGCCGTACCCTGGCAAAATATCCCTAGGAAGCCTGCCCTTTTCTAAAGGAGGGGGAGTGGATCTGGGTTTAGGGGGAGGGACTTGGAGGAGAGGAGAGAGGGGAAACTGTAGTTGGGATATAATATATCAAATGAATAAAAAAGAATGTAAAGTTAAAACTGATAATGTATTGTAAACAACAAAAATTAATGTACAGATTAACCATACAAGTTTTTTTTTTTTTTTAATGTGTTTAACCACGTTACTTTTGTGTGGTTGTGTGTATAGTATACTCAGGTGTGCACATATAGAGACCATTCTGGACTGGCAGTTCACATGATTCCAGTCAAGTAGAGCAACACCACTTTTAAATACTTGACAAAAAAATTTATTGGGTTCACCCATGCATCAGAGTGAGTAACACTACAACATTCTGGAGCTATCTAGTCACACCTGGCTACTGGCTTCTGCTGAGCTGCCTGCAACATTGAGAAATAATTTAAATCTAGATTCCGAAACCCAGAGGAACTCTGAGAAAATCATTGTTGAACATTTTACAAAGGCAAATATGAAACCACAAGACAGTTAAGTCTCCAGTCAGCCCACTGGTGAAGCAATCAGAATTTCAACATTTTCCAGCCTGTTTGCATGCCTTGGCATGTTTGTGGGCTGATGGCATGGCTCAGTGGGAAAAAGGGTACTTGCCACCAAGCCTGATGACCTGAGTTGTATTCCTGAAACCCATATGGTGGAGAGAGCCAGCTTCACAAAGTTGTCCACTGACCACCACATGTGAAATAGCACACCCCTACATATTAAGTAATAGTATTTTTAAGACATGTTGAGGTAATCTGGAGAGGACATAGTGAAAAATTCATTATATTTCCCTTAAATTACAAATATATAATACAAAAAGTATCAGGGAAAGTTACATATCAAATATTCAGTTTCTTTTGTTTTTGAGACTAGGTCTCAACATAGCTCATGCTTACCTCAAACTAGCAATGTATCTGAGGATGCCTTTGAACTCCTGACCCTCCCAAGTACTGGGATTATAAATGTGATGTAAAACTTGGCCTTAATGTTTTAGGCACTGAATAAATTTATAAGCATAGTCAGGTGGTAATACTTAAAATTGTATTTATTGTGTGTATTTGTGTACACCATGACACACATGTGGAAATCAGAGGAGTTGCTCTGTTCCTCTACCATGGATAGCAGGGATTGAGCTAAGTTATCTGGACCTTAAGCCATTCATCCATCTCTTGGTGTTGGGTAGTAATTTTTTCTTTAATTACCTTTATCTTGTGATGACCAGAGGTTGAATTTCAAGGCCTCACATATGCTAGGCATATGCTTTATTACTGAGCTACACTCCCAACCTATTTGATAAATTTAAGGCAATATTCAACAATTTTTTAGAAGCTAAAATTACGTGTGAAAATCAGTGGCTTCTTTTTCATTGATAAATGGAAACACTTCAGTTCTTATTGATTACTAATAAATGGTTATGCCCTACTGCAGATGCATTTTTTGAATAAACAGGGCCATCAGTCTGGACGCCTCCATGTCAGCTGCAAAGGTTCTAGTTACGGTCTGGAGCTGAATCCACAAAGATCCAATGCCTCTGCACCTCCCACTCACCTCTCAAAAGGGCTGTGTGCTGGGCTCCATGGGATCTGGAACCTACACTCTTCTAGAGGCTTCGCTGGACTCAGATGACATTTGCAGGAAGCCAGGTCCTCAGACACCTAAATCCTAGTTGGCTCAGGCCCCTTTAGTCAACACGGCAAATGATTTACATCAATTTACTTCATGTCTTGTATGTCCCTCCTTACCCAGTCTGCTGAGACCCTGAGGAAATGTACTATACATCATTCACTTTGACCTACCTTCAAAGAAGCCTTGGAGGAAGCAGCTGTCCCAAGGACTTACATGCCTGGATCCCAGCCTGGCTGCTCTAAAGGCGCAGTGATCAGTATCTCAAGGATTATTTATAGCACGGGTGCAACACGAGGTCACAAGAACCGTGAATGGTCTATGATCTTACCCTACTTGCAAGCTCACCATCTGGCCTGCCACACAGCCTAATGGTTGTTGGCACTCCTAGACAGAGTTAGGGACTTCTGTGTGTTTGCATCTGTTGCTTTCCCTCCCAAGTCCCCCAAGGAGGTAATAGATAGGCCAAGTGGATGCTGTACTCCACATGACCTGCAATAACTGTGGCATCTCACGCTTAGGAAACTACCAGAAATACATGAAGAGCTGTTCTCCCAATCAGCTTGACTGACGACTTTTGTCCATGGAGAGACAATAATCTTTATTATTCAAAGCAAATCCTTCCAGAGTCTGATGTAAACTTTTCACATGGTATGTAGAAATGCCATGGAAAATTGCCCAAGCAAACCAGTCTGCTCAGTGGTAACTGGCTAGGAAACCCTGCTTTCCCAACCCAAGAGGGAGGGCATCCCCGAAGGCTGACAAGTTGCTGTGTTGACGGCTCAGGGCCAGCCACACCTCTCTAGCTTGCTGGCAGGGACAGTGCATAGTACAAGGTTGTCTAGGACCTGCTGGCCATGTCCAACACCCAATATAAGTAAATTTATATCAACTAAGGAGGACTTACATACTGTTACTATAGTAACACGTGCCTGGGCTTTGCACTTCAGTGATTTAAGAAACCTGAACTTGGTGTTTTTAATGTAGTGCCTTGTCAGTCACAGAAAGACAGATTCTTTAATTCTAAATCCCCAAGATTAAGCACAGCTGAGATTGTAGAAGTAAAGAACATGTGTCCTCTTGGACAACACATTGTCAACAGTTTCTGATCTCAAAAGGTTTCTGATCCCCATGGAAGCTGAAGTGTTTTACAAAGAACTAGCAGATGACAGAGCCAAAGCAATGGCACGCTTAGCCTGGTGGCTTGGGAGACAGGAGCTCAAGCTGAGGTCTCCCATGTCAGGCCTCCTTGTTGTGCTACTTGTAGTTATGAAATAGAGCCATGATAAGAGCCCAAGAGTTGGACACCTCTAACTCAAATCCCAGCTCTTATCCCTCCTGTTAGTGTAACTGAGCAACTCAGCCTTTATCACCATCAAGTAGGACTTCAAGCATAACGGGTTTGTTGAGAAAGCAGGCTGCTGCATATAGAGCTGTTGTCTGTTACAAAGCCTGAGACACTGAGTTCTGGGTGCATGGGACCTTTTACCAAGGTGAGCTATCCCAGGGCTCTATTTTTTTTTATAAGAAAATATTGTTTGTATGTATTTGCCTGAACATATGTATGCGTATGCACTTTCTGAGTGCCTGGTACCGAGGGAGACAGAAGATGCTGTTGGATCTCCTAAAACGAGTTATAGACAGTTTGTAAGCCATCATGTGGGAGATGGGTCATAAAACTGGGTCCTCTGCAAGAGCAACAAGTGCTGTTAATCATTAAACTACCCAGCCTCTTATTTTAATAATTTTTGTGGTATTGGGAATTGAACCTAGGTCCTAGTGCATACTAGTTAAGTGTGGAACTCCATTTCAAATCATATTCCTAAACCCAGTTTGATGCTCAATGCCTGAGTTCCAGCACTTTGGCAGGAGGATCACAAGTTCAAGGCTAACCAGGGCTACAAGACTGTGCCTCAAAATACAAACAAAAAACCATGTTCCTAAATATTAAGCAGGTGGGCTGCTTGGATCCAACCTGGGTCTTAGTAGCCCTGACCTTTAACCAGGGGAAATGACTGTCAACATTTTGGCTAATTTCCTCCCAGCTATTGCTTTTTAGTCTAGGTATATAGTTGTGTGTAAACAGCTGCATAAATAAGCTTTGACTAGATACACTGTCTATAAACTACTTCACCACTAAACAATGCTACTAAAATTTCCATGCCAGTTATTCCAAGTCATTCTAAGTAAGCAGTCTGCAGCAATCAGAATGTCTCATATTAACATGCTACCAAGGCCTACTGCATGTCATGGGTTGGTTTTATCTCATTTCATTCTTAGGAAAGAGAGGGTCAAAATTGTAATCTTTTTTTCCCCATTAATTGAATCTTACTCTGTTTTTATTCTTTTGGTGTTTAGAGACTGTCCCTGAACTTCTGATTCTTCTATTGACATCTCTCAACTTCAGATTATAGCCACGGACTACCGTGTGCCCACCTTAGAATCTTACTGTAATACAAACCCTCTAGTGAATTCCTATTCCTTCTCTAAAACAATCCTGCAGATGTCAGCATTGTGGAAGCACCTGTGTGTAGTCTCTGGGGGAAAAGCTGTGTTTGCATACCTGCAAACTGGGTCGACACGACTAGGTTAAGAAGTATTAGTCATGACAGACTGTGACCATTTAAGTCATATGTTTAGTAACCTACTTGCATAACCCTTGTTGTTTAATCTAGATATTATGTTCAGCTTTTATCTCTTGATAATGACCCCCACCCTCAAAGCAACACAGGCACACACCCAGTCAGCATGCATGAGTGCTGACATGACTGCCAGTGACTGTTTATTGAGCATCATGATACAACTGAGATTGTACAACATGAAATGGATACAGTCTGGCACAAATAGCATACATTTCACTGTCAGTTATGAAAGTTAGAGAAAGATGAACAAGTTCTGTAAGCATTTTTTCATAAATAGATTGATTTCTAAAAAATATTAATAAGTATTTATTATATGAAAAGTTAAAAAATATGTTGATTAGAAGGAAAAATGAAAAAAGTATTAAATGAATTATACATACAGGAATTTAGTTTGTGTTGAGATCTTAAACTCAAGTTTTTAAAGCTAGAAACTTCCTGGGGTTACTGGAAGGTAATATAATTAGGAAAAAGAGAACACTTTTATTCTTTCAAAAAAAAATACTGTTGCCAGATGTTGGTAGCACATGCCTTTAACCCAGCACTTGGGAGGCAGAGGCAGGCGGATCTCTGTGAGTTTGAGACCAGCCTGGTCTACAAGAGCTAGTTCCAGGACAGCCTCCAAAGCCACAGAGAAACCCTGTCTCAGAAAGAAAAAAAATACTGTTTACATAACGATTATTTTGTAGCCCTCACAAATACTAATTCCAGAGTCAAAGGTCTATTTATTATGCACTAAGTGTCAGTTGTCCATCTCAGAAACCCCAGCCAGGCATAGTGACATCACATTGCTGTTACCAACAGCAAAGGTGGATGACATGCTGATTCTAATAGAGAACCAGGAGAAACATAAATATGTAGGTAAAAAAGAAAAGGCGCATAAAGGTATACATTAATCACACAGGGCACTGGATTTAACACCAGCTAAGAACCTTGATACATTCCATAGAGGTCAGGGTTGCCCCTTCCCCAATGTCAAAGTGAAATGAACTGGCGAATTCTATATGGCGTGCATCCCTTAAAGAATTTACCTGTAAATAGGAATGATGATGATGATAAAAACAAACAACAAAAACAGTTTGTAAACTGCAGACACACTGAGGATAATCTTATGACTGAACAACAGGCCTTGAGTCTTAGCCTGTGGAAGGAGATCAGACACGCCAGAGAACACATCTTCAGTATGTCCTATAGGCCATGTGTGCTCACCAGCCTATGCAAGGGTCTGGGCAATCCCGAAGGTAACTTTCAAATTGACCTTTGGTGACATCAATCAAGGTTGTGAATACAGTCAGCTGAAAAGAAAAAGTTATTTTTATTTTAAAGATATTTTCAAGTTTAAGATTTTCTTGTACATATTAGCATTTGTGTCCTTCAAAGAAATTGTTTTATGATGATACTTAATAGTAATTAAGGAACAGTTAACCCTCTCCAGTGTATAACCAGCACACATACAAAGCTCAAAGGTGGCAGGCCTATGCTTCTCAGTGCAGCTCCATTACAGTAAGGAAACTGTAGGCACATGTAGTACAAAGCACACACCCAAACCCTCGGGTACCTGCACACACACTGTGAAGCCACATGGAGATACTGTGCAAAGGAGAAAGATGGTAGCTTGGCTGAGATGAATCAAGAAGGCCACTCCCTGGTTAGTTCCAAATGCTAAAGGGAAGGAGTACTTTGTTCTGGCAGGGGTAATGCAAGCTGTTTATTTTAGGGAGACTCAGACAAGAACAAAGAAAATGGAATAGTCTAAGGCAATATATCCAGAACATATCTCTACAAAGAATGACTATAAGCACATGGGACAGTTAGGTTTCTCAGTTACAGTGAGGGGGGCATTAAAGTTGAAACAACATTGACAGTGTTGCCAAGTGAGCAAAACCCTTACTGCATTCCTAAAATTGTAGTTGCAGGCATTTCTCAAAAATGAGACCTTAAAGCTGAGTTGGGTGGTGCCTGTCTGTAATCCCTGAACTCAGAGGGCTAAGGCATAAGGACTGTGCACGTCTGAGGCCAGTCTAAGCTACAAAGTAAGTTATAGGCCTGCCTGGGATACAGAGAGACTCTGTCTTAAAAAATGAATCAATGAATGAATAAATAATAAACCTGAAGTTGGACATAACTAATATGGCCAAATGATCTAAAGTAACAGAGAAAGACAAAATATATAAGCACATTCTTCCCCGAAAGCAGTATATATGTATGTGTGTGTGTATAAATACCTTGTTGAGGACAGGCTTTGTTGATAGGACGTCATATATGGTTGCAAACGAGAGATTCTAAGACACAAAAATAATTGTGTTCAATAGATTAAACACAGACCTTCAGTTGCATTTACGCATAAAATCGGGCCATCAGGAACTAAAATATTTTTCAGTCTTCCTAAGGCATCTCCCCTGGAGTCACCGCTAGAAACAAAGGTGACAGTTCTCATATATCACTTCTTTCTCTCTCCTCCCCAATTGGAATTTATTTCAAAATTTGTTATTTCACTTTATAGAATGGTATCTGGCATTAGTGTAAGGGAGGAAAATTACAGCAAGAATTTGCTCCTTAAGTTCAACAGCAAAAGCTCTGTGAGGTTTGTCTAGAGATACTCAGGTTTACAGATTCTTCAAGGTCAAAGAAAACACTAGCACTAATCATCCATAATGGAGACAGTGTCTTTTTGTATGTGACAATGCAACTGTACCTTCTGTGTCGTGCGATTTAGACACATCTTGGCAGGTGTTCTGCGGTCATCAAGGAACAAGGTGTTTTTCCACCGGTCATAATTGGTTTGTACCACATACCATCTGTCATGCTTAGGATCGAGTCTAGATACAGAAAGAGAGTTTCCCTCTTAGGCTTCATGTGTGCCTAGGCTATTTTTTTTTTTTTTTTTTTTTTTTTTTTTTTTTTTTTTTTTTATCAAATGTACTCACTCAAATACATCCAAAGACTCTCTTCTTTCTCTCGTAATCACACAGCCTTCCCCAGACTTGTTGCCTCCCAGGATAAAATATGCTGGGGCCATTAGCTTGGTCTTGATTAGTGTATTCTTGGCTTCGTCATAACTATACAGAAAAAGTTTGAAAAGTGAGCATTTTTAGTTGATTTTGAATGATGTGTTTTTGTTGTAGGAACTAAAGGGAAACAGGTATGTGAGGCCCCTTAATGGAGTTACTTAACTGAATGTGGACACACAGTTGGCAACAGTAAAGGCTTTCTGAATGAGCAATGACCAAACATTAGTTGTAAATCACATAAATGTGAACTGACTCAGAGGCATTTCTGGGAGTGCTCTCCCAAGCTGCATGTGCAGCTTCTCTGCAGCCTTGGTTCTGAACGTGTGCTTCACACTGCCCTGGCTTCAGCTTCTAGAAAGAACATCTGGTTTTAAAAATTACTACCTGAGTTGCCGGTGAATTTCATAAAAAAATTGTGAAATGAAATTTGGCTTGGGATTATGACAGAACTTCCAAAATGCCCCTAAATATATTTCTGCCATTTTATACTATGTCAAGTGGCATTCTGAATGTTGACAATCAACTCTGAAAAATGAAGATGCTTTACAACCTGTGGTAACAAATATTCAGTCAGGATTTAATTCTTCATATAAACAAGTACATCCCATGTTAGTATGGACATTTGCTTTTTGTCTTTAATGAATGGTAAAATCCTATGTATACCAAAGAATTGTTTTAAAGTAAATTTATTTACAGTAAATGTTTGATCTGTATAAATATTTTATATACCTATAGCTTTGGCATCAGATAAAGCATTTTTAGACAAAAGGGGGCTGAATGGGAAAAGGTGAGGAAGCCTGTGGTTAAGGAAGGTGCTTGTGAATTAGGGTGATGAGCAATTAGGGTGGTGGAGGATCAATGTGGGAATTTTAGGATGACCCCCTAATCTGAAGGAGATCTCAAGAGTCATCCTCTAGCCTTTCTCTCTATGTCTTTTATCCAACAAAAGAATGGGAAACATAATTACAGTGCTGGGGAGGGGCTGGGGCAGTAGCTCAGTTTGCAGTCTGCAGAGTCCTTGACAACATGCACAAAACTCTGGCTTCATTCCACAGCACCATATAAACTGGACATGGTGACATGCCGGTTAATCCTAGCATCCAGGAAATAGAGGCCAGAGGATCAGGCGTTCATAGTGAACTCACTGGCTACATAGTGAGTTTGAGACCAATGATTCTACCTCAAGGAAACAACAAAAGCACACACACAAAAATCCCTGCAAGACTTGGGGAACAGAAAGTAACTTTGGAAATGAAGACTATTAAGAACATGAAATGGATAATAAAGAAGGCAACCAACTTCTATTCCCTTGAATGTATTAAAAAGTAAGATTGATGCTCATTTTGTTCAAGTCATATGAACATAGTATGTTTGGTATAATTTCAGCACTACAAGAGACTATAACTTCTAGGTTATGTATTAACAATTTATGTATGTTTCCTGTGCTAAGAAACTGAATAAAGATTTGACTGTTTAGCATTTCCTATAGACATGATTTTTTTTTGTATAGCAAAAACTTAGATATCTTTCCTAGTGTCAATATCTAATACTTATACTAATAATTCAATTCATTGCTCTGCTATGGCAGCACAGAATACACAGAAAACAGGAATAATCCCATGTGAATGTCAAAGAATCTCCTGAGAAATATAACAGTTCCTCAACGGATGTGAAGCTAGGTCTTGGCAAATATTTTTGTATTTTAACATGGGTTATTTAACAGGTATTTGATAATAAAGCAACAAATCTTCACCTTGTACTATTTTCCAGAACTGATCTAGTGATAAACCCGACCCATTCAGCATCTTTCTTTCCCAAAATCCATTCTAGGATACCTGGAAGAGATGAAATGCAGACAAAGTGACAGGGCCAGGAGGAGGTTAGCTTACTGCCCTCCCTTACAAACACTGAGATTCCTAGTCCATCACCAGACATTTCACTCACCCAAATAACCGCCATTTAGACTGAAACGTTCATTTAGTGTAAGACTAAACAGTCCCTGAGGAAAATAAAAACAAAACAATGCAGTCAGAAATATCAGCATACTCTTAAAGGCCCCGTCTCTCTACCAGGGCAGTGGTGTAGCAGGACCTGAACTAGGTACCAGAGAATGCAAAGAGAAATCAAAACCACAGTAACATTAGAAACTCTTCTGAGTTCAAAACACTTCACATGCAAAACATGTCACATGTGTGAGATGAGGTAGGTGGGAAACTACTGTAAAAGAAACGAAGAGCAGAGTCCATGCTTGAACTCATGACGCCTAAGTGAACAGTAGACCTAGGCCTGACCCCACTTTTACTTTGAGACTTTGACAGCCAGCGACATGCTCCTTATCTTCAATGGGCACAGAAACCATTTCCTTTCTCTTTTGTGGTGTGGGGTCAAATACTGACAAAGGTGATAAGGATGAGGGAGTAAAATAGGGCTTCAAGTGGTAGTTTATATCACACACATATGTATATATATTCACACACATGTATGTGTGAAAAAAATATGCTAGAAGAGAAACATCTGGAAAAACACCAGAGCTTGGGGAAAACTTGCTGAGGGTGACTGAAGATAGCTCTGGAAAGTAGAATGCTATGTTAGAAAAGCCAACCTATGTTTGCCAATAAAGGAGAATGGTAGCAGGAGATGCCTGAGTTTTCAAATTTGAAAAAAAAAAAAATAGGGCTTCAAATTCTTTTTGTCTAACTGTGACAGTGTCTCACTATGTAGTCCTGGCTGGCCTGGAATTCACTATGTAGACCAGACTGGCCTTGAACTCACCACCGTCTGCCTTGTTAGGATTGAAGGAGTGTGCCATCATGCCTACCTTCATAGTCTTTACATGTCCTCATTTTCTGAGACTTCCAGACAGTAAAAGCAGGACACAGAGCTACTTAGAAAGTTGTAACTTATGGCTTACTGGTTTGAACCCTGTCAACATGCCCACATATCCAACGAAGCTTGTAGCCTTGAAAACAGTCTTGTTGTTTCTTTGGAAGTCCAAATTCACTGTTAAAGACTTTAATTCTTCTGTAACAACCCAAGTGTTGTTATTTATATTCCACCTAAAAAAGACAAATAAATATTGGTGACATTAGAGACAAAGATGGAGTTGACAGGAGACATGACATAGATGCTGATGTTGTGTGTTTGTAACTGGGTCTTGCTATGGAGCCCAAGATGACTTCATACTTGCAATCCTCCTACCTCAACCTTTCAAGGGCTGGAATTACAGGCTTGAGATTCCATGTCTGCCTTATAGGTGCTTTTTCTGCCTGGTCACTTAGGATCAGCTTTAACAAGATCTTTATGAGTGTGCTATGGGATGGATCTGAAATGTCTGTCAAAGGCTCATGTACTAACAGCCCAGTCCCCAGTGCACCAATGTTCAGAGGTGAGGCTTTGTGCGGTGATAGGATTAATCCACGGATGAGTTGACAATTTGAGAGATTACTGGGAGATGATACAAACTTAGGAGGTGGGTCCTATATGAAAGAACCAGGGCCCTGGATGTACACCCTTGGGGGCTATATTTGTCTTTAATGCATTCCTCACTTTAGAAAGTGAGCAACCTCCTCCAATACCTGCTCCCCCAACATGGTACTCTGCCTTACCAGCCTTAAAAATAGAAGAGTCAGTTGCTAATGGACTGAAACCTCTAAACTGTGAGCCAGAATAAATAGGGTGGTTCCATCCCTTTTCCAGGTGGTAAGACTGAGGCTCAGAAAAGTTGATTAACTCTGATTACATAACTATTGAGACACAGATTCAAATGAAGATCTCTAATTACAAAGCCAATATTTTTCGTAAAGGTCAAGATGAAAGATTTCTCTAAGCAATAAATGAAAATAAGCACCTGTTCCCTTCAAACATGGTCCCAATTTCTGCTCAGCAAGTATAACTCCTGTGATACAACTCCTAAGTAACTGGGAAGTCCACCCAGTGTGCCTGCCTTTCCAACACTAAGGGATCCAGTCATCTTCACCCATGGCCATCTTCTACATATGAGGGGGGACTTGCTTTTCATCGAGGTAATACTACAGTCTACACTTCTTTTGGAGTGAAAGTATGTCAGGTTACTTACTTACCCAAGAAATATTCCAAAATCCATGTTTCTTCCATGTAGTAAATGACCTATTAGGAGGAAGTGGCAGAGACATGTATCCACAATTAAAGTACAATGGATTCTTAATCACTGGTGGACAGATGAGACTATTCACAACTGTATCACCTAGCAATATATAATAATTAAGAAGTCTGGCAACCAGAATAAGCCTTAACAAGTTCAAATTAGTGTCACTATCACATTGGGACAGTAACAATTGGGATCTGGAGACTCCATATCAGCTATAGAGGCCAATCCTTATTCCTTGGACAACTACAGTTCTACCAGGACATAGTTATCCTAACCTCTATTAATGTGACTTACCCAATTCCTTAATTACCACTTATAGTGGAACATCTCAAATATTACATGTAGGTCAAAAGTCAGAGTGAATGAAGGACAAGTCACCTTGTGCCATAGAGCTTGGGCACCAGCCAGGAAAGTGAGGCTCCCATACACAGTGCTTGTTGACTGGTAAATTATAAGAGGGTGTTTGTGCTGGGTCTCCAGAAACAAATCTGTCACTGCCTGTTGTGGATTGAATAAGAATGGCCCCCATAGGTCCATATATTTGGATGCTTAGTCATCAGGGAATGGTATATGTCTGATTTAAAGTTTAATAAGCATCCCAGTTGTCTTCAGGCTAATTTTCAGTATGCTTAGAAAAATTTACCAGGATTAACTAAAGTATATACAACATACACACCACAATTTAAATAGCAAACCTTGTTAGTAAATGTTCTAATTCTACTCTAAAAAAGTTTTATTTTATGCTGTGCTCTGCACTTTAACATGTTCCTTTAACAAAGATTACCTTCATTATCTTCGGTTATTATTGATGTACACATGGTAAACAATTCATAGAAAATGTTGAATGAAATAATCTCTCCTGTGAAAAACAGGAAAAGTTTTGATAATAACCATGACAGTATAAGGAAAACATCATTCCACTTTTAACCCCTGTCTTGTTAAATGCTAACATGCTGGGGTTAATATGCATTTTTACCCCAATATACTTTATTTTCAGTTAAATTATGTTACTCCCCTTTTCTCTAAAGATATTTATATTTGGTAATTACTTGTGAGGACTCTTTGTATTTATACCAAGATCATCTTCTCATGTAAATGACAAGTATATATCTGCAGTAGGTTATCTTTTTTGTTGTGATTTTTTTTTTTTTTTGAGACAAGATTTCTTTATGTAACATCCCTAGCACTGTAGATTAGGCTGGCCTGGAACTCACAGAGATCCACCTGCCTCTGCCTCCTGAGTTCTGGAATTAAAGGCATGTGCCACAACTGCCTGGCCAGGTATGTTATCTTTTTAAATTATTTTTCAGCTAGAATTTTTTTTTTTCTTTTTTGAGACAGTTTCACTATGTAGCCCTGGCTGTCCTGGAATGCACTCTGTAGACAATGCTGGCTTTGAACTGAGACCCACCTGCTTCTGCCTCCTGAGTGCTGGGATTAAAAGTGTGTAATCAACACCTGACAGAATACACACACACACACACACACACACACATATTTTGTTTTTCGAGACAGGGTTTCTCTGTGTAGCTTTGGAGCCTATCCTGGCACTTGCTCTGGAGACCAGGCTGGCCTCGAACTCACAGAGATCCGCCTACCTCTACCTCCCGAGTGCTGGGATTAAAGGCGTGTGTCACCAAGCCTGGCGTGACAGAATATTTTTATATTTATTTATATGTGCATTTATTCATGTGTTCACATACAACAACATGTGTGCATAGGTTGGCCACTGTGTGTGTAAGTTTGTCATGGTGCATGTGTGGTAATGAGAAAAAAATGTGGAAGTTGGTTCTTTCCATCCACCATGTGGATCCCAGGAATCCAGAACTCAGGTTGTGTGGCTTAGCAACAAGCCCCTTTACTTGTCAATCCATATTCCCAGCCCTTAAAAAAAAAAATCATTTAGTGAAACAAAAGAAACAAAAGCAACAAAAATTTTCAGTCTCTTGTGAAAAGTACCACTGGTTACATAAGTCGTGACTCTATTGCTTTTAGATTAGTGAGAAAAGCCTTTTTCAATAAATGATACAAACTGAAAACTGAAACTAAAAACTTTCAAGAGCTGGGCAAGGTTGGACATGCTCAGAATCCCATCACCCCATAAGGGGACAAGGAAGCCAGCATGGCTGCATAGCAGTGAATATTTGCCTTGAAAAGGAAAAAACAAGAAGATAGAAATTAGTTGCTCAAAATATCACTACCTACAGAGCATTGGTGGCGCAAGCCTTTAATCCCAGCACTCGGGAGGCAGAGGCAGAGGCAGGCGGATCTCTGTGAGTTCGAGGCCAGCCTGGTCTCCAGAGCGAGTGCCAGGATAGGCTCCAAAGCTACACAGAGAAACCCTGTCTCGAAAAGCAAATATACATACATACATACATACATACATACATACATACATACATGTATGTACATATATATATCACTACCCAACAATAATGAGTAATATAGAAGACCTTTTCTCCCAATTAAAAAAAAAAATGCCTTTGAGAAATCACTACCCAATCAAAGGCTGACTTACACTGTATTCAAGGACATATTAACTTCATTGATAACAGACAGACTGTGAAGGTGGCAGGCTGATTATAAAGCATATGGGAATGCAGAAGGACAACACAGACAAGAGAATGCTGAAGGAAGGCATAGGTGAAGAATTACAATGCTAAAATGCCCCTACTGTAAAGTTTTGGAATCCGAGACAGCGTGTGACTGACACAAGGCAAAGAGAATGAAAACAGAAGCAAGTTCACAAATAGGACCAGATACATGGAGTCATCTGACTTACATCAAAGATACCACTATGATGTATGGAGGGAAAGATAAACAATTTTAGTAAATGGTCCCTCATCCATTAGAAATATATGGAGAGACTCTGACTAGTGTTTTGCTCTTCCCCCAAAATGGAGGAATAAAGAAAAGTCAAACTGAAAAAAAGTCAGTAACTCACCAGAGAAATGTGGTGTCAATGAGAGAAAATTATATTTCTCATTCTATGCTTGTCAATAAATCTGTCCATCTTAGAAATTGTCTTGCAGAATTTGCAAGGCTAAGTACATAGCTAGCTACCCCATGGCTCAAAAGTTCAAGAGAAATTAGTGTATATATCCATTAAAAAACATGCAAAAATGCACGCACACAAATATCAATAATAGCCCCATTGTTAATATATAAAATCTGAAAACAACCCAGACAGTCAACAACCTGTACTGATAGGATTAAGGAAGAAGAGTAATTCAATTGTTAGGTTTTATGTTTAACGTGGTGAAGGCAGAACAGGGTTATTGTCTGTGAAGGGGCAGATGGAAACTTTTGAAGGACTAGAATTCCTTCACCTTTTATGAGTGAGATGTGCATGCATGGATGCATATGTCATCCCTCAATGAGCTGTTAAAACCTAGAATTTGTGCCTTTCACTGCATATAGTACATTAGACTTCAGATATGCCACAGTGTTTTATCAAATATTTTCAACATTGCAAGGTGAAATTTACCTAAAGGTATCCCAGTAACATCTGCAATTCCCTTCATTTCCTCTTCAAAGGGGCCAGGAATCTTGCCAATTAGACCAGGCTAAAAAAAAAAAAGAAATGAATGACCACTGAACTTAAACCCATGCTTCGTGAGCCAGTTCTCTGACTACAACTCTTTAGATACTGTTAATGCAGTAAGTATGTTATTTTTAATGCATTTTACATCATGGATTTCTAAAAGATTTACAACATTGATTTCTAAAAGATTCTATATAATGCTCAGTGTTGAACTAATCTAAGAAACCTGTGATTCTTAGATTCCGTTTTCCTACTGATCTTTGTCCCAGAGAGAAGGGAACAGGAATCATTTTACCTACATGACTTAAAGTGACCCACTATCTAGATCAGCTTTATAAAGAGCAAAGTTCTGCTAATTCAATCTTTATCAACTGGCAACACTCAGCAACAAACAAATAGTACTCTACCACATCACAGAACTGTTCGTGAGGGTTAATGGCTGGTCCTGACCTAAGTGGCATCAGTTGCATTTAATTAGCAAACAACAAGTAAACAATCCAAAGATGGACAGTGTATCTGATTCTCAACCTCAACTTAAGCACAAATACAGAGAACACATTTATATTCTCCGGCTAAGACAGTGTGTTTAAAGTTCACAAGTCCTGTATTGACACTTTTTTTTTTTTACATTTGCTTATTTATTTTTCATACAAGGTATGTGTACACATATGCCACAAGGCACGTGTGGAGGTCAAAGGACAACTTGCTGGTGTTGGTGTGCTCCTTCAGCTATGAAAGTTCTGGTGATGGAACTCAGGTCATCAGGCTTGGCCATCTCACTGCCCCAACATCCTGTTTTCACCATCTGCATAAGGTGACCTAACTAAGCATATTATTTGTTTCCCGTGAACAAATGGAGTGAAATGTTCCAGTCAATTTAACAAATACCACTTAATGAACACACATTAAGTATGACACTTTCAATATAGCGATATGCCATTTAGTCCTCACTGCCACCATATGAAATATGTATTAGTAAATATTATGCTTCCACATAAGAAAACAAAAGTTTCATAGGTGCATGGCAGACTTAAAATGCAGTAACACTGGACTCCAAATCACAGCATCAAAAACTGCTTTGCTGCCTCCCTACTGACATTCAGGATAGAGGAGGGATTTAGGTACAGGGGCATGTGAGGACTCGATCCCCTTCTGTTTCTACCAACTTTTATTCTGGGTAAATCCGTAGTTTCACCACATGATAACTTTGGTAAAGAGGTGAGAACACAAACATAACCCTACAGACTTGCTGGCTGGGAAGTCAGGGGTTATATGGAAGGAGGAAGTGCTTTGACCATCCGGTACCTAGGACTAAGGCAGTTCTGTCCTGGAAGAGATGGCAGTGTTGCATAAAAGTTTGGTTTTTACAACTGAAGAAGAAAGCAGTGGGTAGCCTTACAGTGGTAGCTCACACCTTTAATCCCAGCACACAGGAAGCAGAGGCAGGCAGATCTCTTGAGTTTGAGGTCAGCCTGGTCTACACAGTGAGTTCCAGGACAGCCAGAGCTCCGAAGTGAGCCCCTGTCTCAAACAACAACAAAGAACACAGTGGGTAGAGGCCAGACTTGCAGCTTAATACCCTAAACTACCCAGGCCAGCCCCACAGCAAAAAGTATTTGACCCTCAAGTCACTAGTTCCCCAAATCTGCTCTAGAGCCTACCATCCTCTCCATGACCTGAACTTGGCAGCCACATCCAAAAGATGATGAGGATACCTTGGGGGTCTGGAGGGCCAGTCTCTAGATGATGAAGACACCTGATCTGAGGGCCATTTCCTAGATGATGACACCTTGCGGGCTTGGGGGACCAGTCCCTAGATGATGTTCCATTGGTGCTACCTCAATTTGAAAAGGTATTGAGAAATCTTCCTGCATGGCTGGGGATCAGGGAAAGAAATACTTCTGTGACTGCATAGGCACAAGAAATATTCAACACAGTGGAGTTTCAAGGGTCACAGATACCATCGGACTCCACAGAATACACAGTTATAATGAACATGTCATTTCATCTTCAGTTAGAGAAATCTCTGAGTTTCTTGTAGAAAGTGCTTTTAAAACATGAACATTTTCTTCCTCGTTCTGGGATCAAATCTGGGGCTTCCAGCATTCTAACCCTGGTGCTCTACCACTGAGCTCTACTCTCAGGGTGTTGGGGGGCCGGCAGACAACTAGGCTTTCAGTAGTATGCCTGCATATCTAACTTCGAAAACAAGAAATCCCATACTCATGATGAAATCCATGTATTTTTCCCATTGCTTTGTGACGCTGCCAACAAATCATGGAGCAGTTAACTACTCAAACCTGCCATGCTTGGTATCCTGTGACTCTTAATAACCTAATCCTTAGAACTGAAGGTTTTCTCAAGTTTGACAGTGCTTGAGAATAAATGTAAATATCCCTAACGTTCTTGAGAAAAGGTCAAAGAAGTTTCTCTTATTTAAACAAATCTCATGCACATTTTTCTTTTATTGAAAACAGATTCTTTTCTCACACAATATGTCCAGATTACAGTTTCCCTTCCCTCTGCGCCTCCCAGCCCCCCCCACCTTCCCTCTCCTCCAGATCTACCTCCTTTCTGTCTCTCATTAGAAAAGAACAGGCTTCAAAGAGATAATAACCAAAAATGACAAAAGAAAATACAGTAAGATGAAGCAAAAACTACCATATCAAAGTTGGACATGGCAGCCCAAGAGGAGGAAAAGAGTCCCAACATCTGGCACAAGGGTCAGAGGCCCACTCATTCTCACAGTCAGGAGTCCCATAAAAAATTCTAAGCCAATAGCTATAATATATACACAGAGGACCTGTGCTTGCTGCTTCAGTCTCTCTGCACCCAAGCACAACTTATTTTTAACTATGTATGTCTGTTTATATTTGTGTCCTTAAAATTAACTGCAGGAAATATGTCTTACCAACTTTTGGTCCACCACCTGCATTATTTTTCCACTTGGCACAAATGCGTTTACTAAATTCTTGAGGGAATTCACTATAATCCTCACCTGAAAAAAAGAAATACAACACTAAAAAGACAGAAAGTACTGAGATTTAAGATGAATATCGGTGTCATGAAAAGAGATGTAGACTTATTCATAGATAGCAAGCTGGGCAGTGGTGGCACACTCCTTTAATCCCAGCACTTATGAGGCAAAGGCAGGCAGATCTCTCTGATTTGTAGGCCAGCCTGGTCTACCAGTTCCTCAACAGCCAGAACAGTTACACAGAGAAACCCTGTCTTCAAAAACAACAAACAAATAAGATGGCATAACCATTCAATTTGAAAGTATTTCAACTATATCAACAGTTTTCTCCTTAAAGTAGCATTGCTTCTTAATCATTTAGTACGAAGGGAAGGAAAAACAAATTCTACTCCCCCCCACCCCACACACAAAAAGCTACAGGGAAATGATATATTTTCCTCTATCAATTACTATACATTATAGAAGAGTATCAAAAATACACCTTTAAACTTATTTATTTTTATTTATGTATATGAGTATTAACATTTATGTATGTGAACCACATGTATGCTTGGTACCCAACAAGTCCTAGAGGGCATCAAAGTTCCTTGAAATAGAGTTCCAGGTGATTGTGAGCCACACTAAAATGCTGATCCTGGGTGCCCTTAAGTGCTCTCAATTGATAAGCCATCTTTCTAGCCCCTTTGGTAGTATTTTTGAGACAGTGTATCATGATAGCCAAGACTGCCTAGCAACTCATTATATGGACCAGGCTGGCCTCTATACTCCTAACAGTTGTCCCGGCATGGTTTTTATGGGTGTGGGCTTCCATACCCAACATATAAAGTACTTCCTGAAAAGCAGAATTATATTCCATAAAGTCAGAACACGAAGAATTAAGACTTGCAACATACCATTGGTGCCTTCTGAGTTACTACTTCATGCCATCTTTTGTAGGGTGGTAAATCAAGGTTTATGGTGTACCATGGAACTGCTCCTCTATAGCTGCAATGAGAGGGAACCATCTTGAAAAAGGAAACTGACTTTCAGGAGGAGTGTATGGAACTGAAAGGGTGAACTAGACATATAACCATGGCAACAGTATAGCAGTTGGTTACTCAAGCAAAGCCTGCAAAGGAAGTTCAGTTTTCACCCAGTGCCTCAGCGATTGCACATACAATCTTAAGTAGACTCAGCAATCATATAAGAGAATTCTACACTGTGAGCCGGCCATAGTAATAATCCCAGTGCTCTGGATGCTGGACTATATTCTGAGCCCTGCCTCAAAGAATAAGCCATACAAGCCGGGCGTTGGTGGCGCATACCTTTAATCCCAGCACTCGGGAGGCAGAGGCAGGCGGATCTCTGTGAGCCCAGCCTGGTCTACAAGAGCTAGTTCCAGGACAGCCTCCAAAGCCACAGAGAAAGCCTGTCTCGAAAAACAAAAAAACAAAACAACAACAACAACAAAAAATAAGCCATACAAATAAACAATTATACCTACTAGGTCTGGAATGTTAATATAACTTGGTAATATATGAATCAATTGTGGCTCAAGAATTACAACTTAAAATACTGCTGACAGAAATTGTCCACTTTTTGGTTTGTTTTTTTTTTCTAAAGATTTATGACAATTGGCCACTAGACCCTTCTAGACACAAGGACACTTCACCACTTGGTTTCCCAGTCTGAAATACTTTGTCAGCCAGTCTAACAATATTGCCAAATTGGTGTCTCTCGTGATGGCTTCAGTAAGGTCACCTCATAGGCCCACAGTGGCAACAAACGCAAGCTTCCCATGATTGACTCTTTGACCCTCCATATGCCTGTGGACTCCTCTTATCTGCCTGTAGCAAATCAAAGCCCAAGCACTAATCTGTCACATACATTCTCAATTCTCTACTCTTACCCACAGCAATCTCTGCTATGAGGATATAGCGATGTCCATCCCATATTAATGGAGCTGGAGCATATTTCTGGTGGACAAGCTCTACAATTACTTCCACTGCTACAACAATTTCATTTTCTCATCTATTCAAGGAGCAGGGATTGAGACAAGGTCTCATGTAGTCCAGATTGGCCTTCATCTTGTTATGTAGTTAAGGATTACCTTGAATTCGGGAACCTTCAATCCTTCTGGCCCCACCCACCAAGGGTTACCACCACACTAGCTCTTCTCTAGTAATTTTAAGCAAACTGAAATAGCTTTCAAGGGTGTGGCATTCAAGGGTTTATCAGATTAAAGCTAAACCTAAAAGCATCCATCACTTGAGCTGTGTATTACTTTAAGAAGAGGGTAGGGTACATACTGGTATGTGTTGCAATGCTACCCGGCTCTTAACAGATCATCTAGCCCTTATACTTAGAGCCAGACATAATTCATTTCCTGAAAGTCATTTACTGGGCCTCTGTGTTTACTTTACTACCATGAATATCTGCTTTTCTAAATGATGTTGCTGGACTTGGGACCCAGGTATATGGGTAAGGTTTTATGAGAGTGTTAGCCAGTACCCACTCATGTTGTGATATGGATGCAGGAGAAGTGTATTCAACTTTGGAAATACACATTTAAACAAAATTATAATTCATTGTATTATTATTATTACAATGAATTATAATTGTTTAAATGTACATTTATTATATGAATACACTGTATGTATATTTATTGTCTGTATATAAAATGTATAATTAATTGTTCTTTTCAAGTTCCTCAGTTCCTTAGAAGCTGATAACTACATGAATACTGTATACTTAAATCTTTGTGGGAAACCCCTTTTCATTCTAATTTTCCTCTGCTTCTTCTTTTGACTAACCATGCTAAATTGTGTTCCATGGTTTAGTAATCTATTAGCCCATTTATGGGCTGATGGGACTAAACCTTTCCTCCTCCAAGCTGGGTGTCTGGATGCAATAACTAAGTGTTCCTGGGGCTATCTGTGCATGTTGGTGGCTGGTGTTCTACCTGTGAATTCCAACCAGCTCCTCCCTCCTCAGCATCCAACAGATCCAGCGCATCCCTAACATCTTCCATAAGTTCCTGAGTCTTCTTCAGTTGAGTATGGAACAGGCAGGCCCAAGCATTTAACAGGGGAAATGGAGAGGAAAGAAGTCCACTATCAGAGAGGATCAGCATTTGATAATGAACCCTCTACTAGTAAGAATTCTTGGAGAACTGGTTAATCTGATGAAGGAAGTTTTTTCACAATGAAAGCTTAATTTAGTCTTATACTTTATTTCACATTAAACATCTCTCTAAGATATTCTTGTATTTAACAACTGCAACTCATTTCCTACACACATAAAAAGAGCCTACCCTAGGAGGGCAATGGAGATTACATGAAAGATGTAGAAAGCACTTAGCATTAGTCATCAATAGATATCTCTACTTTACCACAATCAGTGTAAATATCATGTCAATTTTTGAGACTCCGCATTTGCTATGCCCAGTCACTGTACTATCAATCATAATAATATCTGCCTTCCCAGGTGGCTTGCAAACTAGTCCAAGTGACACAATACATGCATATACAAATAAGAGCAGGTGCAAAGCAGCCAATGAGCAGCAGGAAAGAAATGCTTAATGGGATTCCAGTGGATGCAGGGTGATGTGGCTGTCAGTCAAGTCTCTCAATATCTGCATTGATGGGACTGGTCAGGCCAGACAGACAGGTGTCCTTTTCCTCCCTCACATTTGCTGGTGTATCCCACCAAGATTCATGCACTTGATTGGAAACGATGACCTCACAGGACTAGGAAGACACTCATCAATTAAAGTGCATGTCACCCTATCTCCCAGATGTCAAGAGCTATTGCTGTACAATTCAAAAAAAAAAAAAAAGATTAAGAATAGGACAGGAGATTTCAGTGTTGAGGGATGGGATAGTGAAACTGGAAGAAATACAGTAGAAATAGCAAGCAAAGAGAGGAAACACACACAACATATAGGTATGGACACACATACAAACACATACACGTATGGTAACAAGTTGTGTTATGCCTAATCAGGAAATGGTTACAGTTTGTAAGGAAATATGTCCCCAGATATATATAGGATACATTTAGAAGAAGGTAGATTTAGAAAAACAAATAAACAAACAAAAAATGGCCTTTAGTATAGAAATTACTTGCTCAATGTTCAGTGAATTGGGCAGCCAAGAGACACAATCATGAAGGCCAAGATGGCATCAGTAGTAATGGAAAAGACTTTCACTGGACTGAGCTGGAATGGCCCTGGCTGGAGAATAGTACTGATGCTGGCTACTCTTAAATCTTTCCATAAAGGTGGGTGAATCAAGACAAGTTGGGTTATCACAGTTCCTCTCAACCAGCAGTAACTGATGCTCAATCAGTGCTAATTACCTTAGTGTATTTTTATACTTTACTACAAACAATATCATTTCATCCTTTGAAACCTGGCATTCCCTATGCCCAGACCATTCCATAATGATGCCACCTGTGCCACATAGCTCGCAGGTTGTTTGTAACCTAATCCAGAGGACAGAACACACACAGAGACAAACAACACAACAGATACTAAGGACTTAATGAGCAACAGAAATGCTTAAGAGGGTGGACACAGGGTGACACTCCAGTGTCCCATGGGTACTGGGACAGACATTACTTAGAACACATATACTTGGGACGTATACTGTCCAAAGGTATTGGAACAGAGGTTACTTAGAACACATAGACTAGGAAAGACCTTATAGTGTTACAAAAACTCAAAGTCTCAATTGTAGTCTGCTTCCTCCCACCCCAGCAGTCTACTTGCATCAGGAGAGGACAAGGAGCAAAGGTGAACATTCCCTACACCTTTCCTTTATCCTGCATTCTGTTCCCTCTGTGCCCCTGGGCTAAACTTGTATGCTTCTCAGGCTTACTTCCTCACTAAGATTTGAAAAGACAAAAATGTGAACTAAAACACACCATTAGACTAAAATAAAGCATGGCTTTGGTCCTTGTCTTATGGCTTTTGATCTAGTTTTACATGAAAGCTTTATCAAGTCAGGGTTTATTTCTAGACTCTTTCATATACAGATTACTTATATGTTCCAATGCAGTCTGAGGGCTTACACCCAGGCACTACAAAGTATTGGAGCTCAGGAGGGATGCATGCCTCTGTTGTCACTGAGCAGAAAAATGCTTGTTAAGAGATAGAGTAGCTTGGTAATGGGCAGAAACCCTTTGTTTTCCTATTAGTTTCATGGGCAGGAAATGGACGTTTTAATCAGATAACCTTCATATCTGCCTGAGTCATACACATAGGGAAGCCAAACCTTGTCTCCAGGTAGAAGACGTGGCTTAAGTTTCATTTACTGCTGTTACTTCTAGACGATCATTATAGATCTGAACAGATCAGTACTCAGATCATTATAGGGTCTGTGCACAAGACAATGGTTTGATCAGCTGAGGTCACTCACGTTGGTCCAGAAGGAGGATAAGTTGATTTTCTGCAATCTTCTGTCCACTAAAAAAACAAAGAAAAATGAACATTTCAGAAAATTACAAATGCTTGCCAATTGAAGCAACCTTTTAAAAAGCATTATTTATTAAGACAAAAGCATCCTTTTAGGCCATTCTACTATCTTTGTTTGAGATACGTGTTCCCTCTCTGTGTCATTCAGGCTGGCTTCAAATTTATTATTAAATAGCACACCCATCCTTACCTCAAACTCACAATCCTCCTGTCTCAGCTGCCTGAGAACTGAGATTATAGGTATGTGCAATACCACTTAGAATTCAATACCTTTTAAAAATATTTATATTTTTATGGGCACGTCATGCATACCTGGTACCTGAGGAGACCAGATAAAGGTATTGGAGAGCCCTGGAGCTACAGATGTTGTGAGCCACCTCACAGTGGTGGGAACTGAACCCAGATCCTCTGTGACAGCAGTATGTACTCTTAACTTCTGTGCTATCTTCCTGGTACCAGCATTCAATAACTTTAAAGATAAAAGTCTTGCCTCTCAAATCCCCAAACAATGAATGTTTCAGTTCAGTTTACACAAAGGCTAGGTATTATAATTTGGCTTTTAAAAATAATTGTATTGAGTAAAGAAATGTAGCAAGGGAGATGGGAAATATTTCTATGAGATGGGATAGCATGCCAATGGCTTAATATAGGATGTAGCTTTTGCATCCTGACCTAAGATTTGCATATCAAACCAGATTTGCAGGGCAAATGCATAAGGTATTTAATAATCTGGCCATAGCCTACCATCCTATCCTTGTTCTGGACACGGCTCCTAATACCATTGCTACAAGCAAACACTTCCTAAACCTCCCACACTTCCATCCTGTACATGTGCTGTGTCCTCTGCCCAGATGTCCACTCTCTGACCTGGGAAACTTCTAGGTCTAACTTCTAAAATCCAACCCAGACACTTACTTCTCTTCCCACTTCCCCACCACCCCTCTCTGTGAAGTCTCATCTACCTCTTGTATAAACAGTCATTTCCTCCTATATATTTCTGTATTGGTACTCATCTCCATTACAATACACATTCTCCTTTAATTGTCTGTGTCTTCTCAATGCCATACTGTGTTCCCTGATAGGGGGGGCAGGCAGCCCTAACACTGAGGTCATTACTGGAGGCAATGAGTGAATGAGACTGTTTCAGGGATAACTGTTCACATTTAGTGGCAAAACTGCATTTTCTAACACAAAATCAGGCAAGAGATGTGCCTATAGATTTATGACTTCTGTTACTTCTTCCAGGTAACAAATATGTTCATCTCCTCGACTCTAGTGACCTAATACTGTGAAAGTAAACTAAACAGTACAAATCTGCAATAAGAGGGGGTAGGGTAGGGGAGGAAACTACTGAGATTGTAGGTGGAGCTCAGACTACCTGCTGAACTCTTATGCAGGAATTGAGATCTCAAAATTAACTTTTGATAATATGGTGAGCACATAGAGCCATTTCTCTCTTACCAAAATGCCTTCACTATTGGATAGGTTTCTTGTTTAAGCATGACTCCAGTGAAATCCCTAAGACACAATATTAAGACTATAGCAAAAAAAGTCGTTTGTGCTAAATAATACTGATTGCAAAAAGTTCTTGCTCAAAAATGCTTCAACCTCACCTTGGACCTCAAAAAACAAAACAAACAAACAAACAAAAAAACAGTACAAAGCTTTAGTGTTACACAGCTGTTAGGTTTGGTCATGTTGAAATGTCGGGATTTCTGCTTGCTTCTGTTTCTATAAAAGTTCACAGAAATTCTGATGACTATGTCCAGAGTTAGGACATAGTCATCAGAGTCTACAGTGCTAACAATGAAAACTCAAGTAACAACTATAACTTTTGTTAAACACAGTGCAGTTTGTTTGAAACAGGATCTTACTGTGTAGACATAGCTAGCCTGTTTCTCACTGTGTAAACCAGGGTAGTCTTGAACTCATGGAGCTTCCTCTATCTCTGCCTCATAAATGCTGGAATGAAGGCACACACTACCATGCCCAGTGATACCCTGCATTTTTAAAAAAGTTTTATAAATTTTCCTAAATAAACTTTTTTACTCAGATTTTTTTTAAAAATTGCTTTTTACAATTATTTATTGTAGTGTGTATATTAGGGACATATAAATGGCAATTAGAATAAATGGTGCAAATATTAACATGATGATAATTACATTAGGAATTCAGTATATTTCAGGAAGAAGAGATAAAAATATATGTTAAGAAAACAAACCAGGAACTTCAAAACATAGAGGGGGACACAGGGATGACATTAGCTTGGGTTCTTCTAGCAGAAGAAAAAGGAAGAAATCAATTACAAACTCCAGGGGACAGGCCTACAAAATTAAGGCACAAAATGAACATGAATAAGACTCAAGTGTTGCTGGGGACACAGAGCAGTGGTAGCAGCATGCTTCTTCAGCATGCATTGGACTCTGGGCTCAACACCAATAATGCCACACACAAAGCTGAGTGATAGAGGACTTCAGAACCATAGGAAAATAAATAAAATCAAAGCCAAGGCAATAAGGCAAGAAAATGAAATAGGCAGCACCTGAAATGGACAGGAGGTAATGTTTAATACAAAACTCTGAAGGAATCTATTAAAAACTTACAAGAAATATTAAGTGCAAGTCTGCAAGACACCACCTCAATCTACCAAATCAGCAACCATATATCTATATAACAAAAAGCTAAAATAAAGGAAAACAGTCCCATTTACAAAATCATCCAAGGAATACCTATGGACAAAGTAGACATGTACAATCACATTCCATTACTCCACAGGCTGAGGCAGGAGGATCATAAAGTCAAGCCAGGGAGACTGTCTCAAACACAAAAACAAAAGAGTAATTAGAAATAAACTTCACCAACACCTAAAACTACAAAACACTAATCAACAAAATTAAAGATAATATGGGTAAACATAAGCTATCCTGTTCATGGGTGGAAGATTTAATTCTGTTAACATGGCCAGATTCCTAAAATTAATCCACAGGTTTCAATCTTGGAAAAGAACAAAGTTGGAAGACTCAGTCTGAATCTTATAAGAAATGGGACTATGTGGAAAAGGGGTCTGCAGGAAGAGGGGAAGAAGACAAGACAGGAGATGGAAGAGAAAAGAGAAAGGTAGATAGCATGTGTTCTCATTGAACCTCACTCTCATTTACACACACACACACACACACACACCACGAAAGCAGACAGGGGCTGTTTGAGTATGCAGAGGGACCAGTGGGAGGGAGAAGGGGGATAAAGGGGAGCTAGGGTACAAATAAGAGAAAAGAACAATGCTACATATGTATGAAAATTTCATGAAGAAACCTATTGTTTTGTGGTTGCTAAAAATATTAATTAAAATGAAGTTAAAATTTTACTATAATAGTAAATGTGGTAAGTTTATATGATGATCCTATCCTTAAATGAGAAAGTGGAAATCTTATAGGAATTATAGTAACAATAAATCTAGAACACAATGCAGACAGTGAGTGCTTTCATGGGTATAAATACATAAAACAATGGAATACAACCAAGAGCCCAGAAATAAGTCTACATTTACAACTTTGCATATCATATATCTGACAATATACATCTATAACATAATTTAAAAAATCTTACAACTCAATAATAAAAAGCTTATTTTTTAAAACAGACAAAATATCCAAGTAGACATTTTTCCAGGAGATATGCAAATGACCCATAAACACAGAAGAGACTCCCAGCATCACCACCTACTGTGATGAGACACAGTAACAGCAAACGTTGCTAAGGGCATGAAGAAACTGGGATCACTCATACTGAGAGCAAGATACAAAACAACAGCTGCTTTACAAAACCATCTGGCAGCTCTTCAGACAGGTAAACAGTGACATAAAATCCAGCATATATATATATATATATGATATCCTAGGAGATAGGAAGACATAAACCCCCACAAAAACATGTTTTCAATATTTACAGCAGTGTTACTCATACTGGCCAAAAAGTGGGAGAGCCCACTGTCCACCAACTACAGGATAAACAAAATGAGGTATGTCTTAGGATGGAATATTATTTGGCAAAAAGAAATGAAGAACTGACACATGCTACAAGAAGAATAAGCCATAAAACAACTATACTATATAGAAGATTCCAGTTACAAAGGACCATACATTGTATAGTCCCCTCTGAAATACCCAGAACAGGCAAATCTATAGAGAGGTTCTATTAGTGGTTGCTTAGGGCTGGGAGTTGGGAGTAAACTCTCCTAAACTAGATGGCAGTGATGACTGAACAATTCTGTGACCATGCTGAAGGTGTGTGTGTGTGTGTGTGTGTGTGTGTGTGTGTGTGTGATGTATACATGAGCATCTGTGCAAGTACACACACACTGTGCACTGTGAAGGCCAGAAGAGGACACTATGTGCCCTGCTCTATCACTTATTCTTTTGAGAAAATGTCTTTAATGAATGTGGAAAGCTGTGTTTTGGCTGGGCTGGCTTGGTTTGCCATCCCCAACAATCCTCCTGTCACCACCCTGGTGGGATTGTGGGTGCACATGGTCACACCTGGCTTTTTTTACGTGGGTGCTGGGGATCTGACTTCTAGTCGTCATGCTTTTACAGTGAGTTTTGTTACCCACAGAGCTATTTCCCCGCCCCTCTAAATGTGTATTTTTATTATTTTTAGAAATATTTTTTCTCTTTCCATTTTTCATGTGTGTGGTGTGTGCATGTGTGTGAGGATGGCACATGTGGAGATCTGAGGCAGGTGTATGGAATCAAATTCATTCTTCCACCTATTGACTGAGGCAGGGCTGTCAATCAAACTCAGAGCTCACAGATACAGCTAATCTTGCTGGCCAGCTTGTTCTGGGGATCCCTTATCTGATGGGGGGTTCTTCTGTATGCTGGGAATATATGTTCTCTTATTGTTTTATGAATAAAGCTGTCTTGGCCAATGGACATGCATGACACAGCCAGGCAGGAAGTATAGGCAGAGCTAGCAGACTAGGAGAATTCTGG